TGAGTTTAACATATTTGTAAAAATCAGAAAATTTGAGACAAACGTATTTTTTTGTATGTATTATTTTTTCAACCATATTAATCGGACAAAACAAACCACAGTCTCTAAACAGTTCGGTGCCAAGAATCGAGGATGACTTCAGAGTCGATTTGGTAAGGTGTCACCTCACGCATTTCGTTATTCAAAAAAACACGTGAATAGTTTCCAACATTTGTGCTAATATTAAGGAAGTGAATTTTAGGGGGGGGGGGGTATAAAGTTCGTTCAGCTCTTCATCCGAGGGCCGTGTTCGAGTCGAGGGGCAGAGGTCGATGACCAACATTTGGTCAGGCACTGAGGCAGGGTATGGAACTACATGTGGTGGGAACATCTATCAACCAAACGCGTCCCCTTACACACAGCACTGTACGCAGGGCTAGGTATGGAACTAGCTGTGGAATCATAGCCTTATGTTGCCGACCGCATTATTTACGTGACTGACTCTGGCCGGCCCATATGTTCGACGTACAACAACAAAATTAAAAAAAAGACGTCCAAATGAAATTGTTAGGGCGAAATTCGATTGTAGGTCGCACCAAAGATTCACAGTCAATTCGTCCCAATTCACTTTCGTCCCAACACATTCGTCCCACAAGTCGATTCGTCACAATTCACATTCGTCCCACGAGTCGATTCGTCCCAATTCACATTCGTCCCATTTCACATTCGTCCCAATTCACATTCGTCCATTTTTTAAATTTTTAGTCAGCATTACGATCTTGAACAGGGTCGATTTCTATGCCAACTGTTACTGACACGCTAACTAATAACTCCACGTTGCGTGAACGGTGTATTTGTATTTATTAACTAATAACTTGTACATTGAATGTCCGGTGTATTTGTATTTATTAACTAATAACTTGTACGTTGAATGTCCGGTGTATTTGTATTTATTAACTAATAACTCTACGTTGCACGTAAGGTGTATTTGTATTTATTAACTAATAACTTGTACGTTGAATGTCCGGTGTATTTGTATTTATTAACTAATAACTTGTACGTTGAATGTCCAGTGTATTTGTATTTATTAACTAATAACTCTACGTTGCACGTAAGGTGTATTTGTATTTATTGACTAATAACTCAGCGTTGTACGTAAGGTGTATTTGTATTTATTAACTAATAACTTGTACGTTGAATGTCCGGTGTATTTGTATTTATTAACTAATAACTCAGCGTTGTACGTAAGGTGTATTTGTATTTATTGACTAATAACTCCACGTTGCACGTAAGGTGTATTTGTATTTATTGACTAATAACTTGTACGGTGTATTTGTATTTATTAACTAATAACTCAGCGTTGTACGTAAGGTGTATTTGTATATAACGTCGGCAAAAAAAAAATGGCGCAACAAACAATTACGCATGTCAGTGCATGACGTGTACGTGAACAGTTTGTTGTTTGGATGTGTTTGTGCTTATTTGGCGAGTTAGTAGTGGGCTAACCTTAAATCTGACGAATCGACTTGTGAGACGAATCGACTTTGGGACGA